AGGAAGTGACAAGGTACAATTTGCAGCTCAAATTAAGAGACTCCTGAGAATTGTAGGAAAGTTATTACTTACAGTGTCATTTTACAAATTTAAAGCCCAATATATAATCACAAACCAAATGTAAGCATGGAGTATTCTAAACAGTGGGGGAAAAACAGGTGAAGAAGCAATTCTGAACCTGTCATTGGCATCTGGAGGGTCACCTTAACAGGTCAGAGATTTTATTCAATCTTTTTAGAGACCGTACTAGAGGCTAGTAAACCACTCTGTTAGGAAGAAAAAACCCCATAATTTTGATATCAAGAAAAATGTGTAAGCTAGCCAAGTAATAATTAGTCTACGTACTTTGACTTTTCTGTAAAAGAGGAAGGCACTGTGATCCTTGGGATCAACCTATACCTGAGGGACAGTTCATTGGTCAAAGCATCCTGAAGGCTGGTAGTTCCCAGGCTGGCAAGAAGTTGCTAGCAAGGGACTTGAAGTTAGGCTTTCTAGATGTCAGATATTCCCACTTGGTCAAATGAGGAGGACATAAGAGCATGGAAGCCTTGTTTGTGATGGCAGAATTGGAGTGGGGAACTGCAAGTTTGGGGATATCTAGTCTCTTAATGGTCCATCAGTATGTCAGTAAACATACTCTGATAGTAAAGCAGGAACCCTGAAATCCCATTCCGTGGCAGTTCCAAATAAACTGAGGGGCCAGGCTACTGATACTTTTGTTCTGTAGGCTTCATGTCACTGAGCTGCAAAGAAGCTGATCATCTTCAGACTTCTGAAGCCTCACATTCCTGGTTGTTGTTATTCTGCTACATAGGCTGGAGCATTTGAAGTCTAGATGCTTGCCTTGTTGGGTTGCCTAGGAGCCCAGCTGGTGAGCCGGGAGGGAACTAGGCACGCTGCAAAACCTTTCTGCTGTAATGCTGCCTGGTTTCATCAAAATCAAATCATCTCTCTCAGATATTTCTTTTGAAATTATTTCAATCTTGATGAGTTGTCAGTCTGATTGAGAACTATCCTGCCTAGGTATTTTCAACTCTCTCTTCATGGAAGAACCTGTTTCCAAGACACTAGCTCATAACCTTAGCATGGATATAAATATTTCATGATAAACAGAAATACATTTCCCATTTATGATTGGGTGCAAATTTCCTTTCCTACATAGACATTCTGGAGTGTTCTGGTATAGAGCTTTCAAGGCTATAACTAATCTGTGGTGTAGATTTGAAGTACCAATATTTTATAGATTTATACTGTGAAGTGTTTGGGTATATCTGGGTAGGGCTGATAAGGTACATTTGAGGACAGGAAGGAGATCTGTAGTAGGTAGTTACATGTTAGTAAGTATTGTGCATTTATTTTCCTGGTATATTGTTTGTCCTCATTTATTTCCATCACTATAAGCATGTATGTAAGAGTACATGCTCAATTTAAAATTGTTTAACAAATAGTATGTTTAGCAAACAGTAAGGGGGCGAGAGTGAAGAAGAGCATAAGCCTGAAACTACTGTATATTTTATTTCCATTTTTTGAGAGAGAAATTTAAAGTAAACAGTCTCAGAACATGATTTTTTTTCAGTTATTTTTAAATTGCTTCTTAAAAAAAAGTATTCCTTGCTTATTTCATGCTGCACCTTCAGTGATCATTAGTCTTTATTAGCCAATACAGATTTATTGTGTTGCAAAACAGTTGTAATGTGTATATGTTGGAATTTTGGAGGAAAAAAACATTGATCTTCATACTGGAAAAAGCAATGGCTATACCCCATCAAAGGCAACTTAAAAATTTTATATCAGTGATAAAACAGGGCACAGAAGAATGCTAGATGGTCTGAACAACAACCGCCTACCCTAAGTCTGCTGGGAATTAGATTTGAAAGGGCTTTAAGTCTTGTGTATTGAATTGCTGGGTTTCCTCTGACATAAATTGCTCTTCTCTCTAAAACCTGAAGTCAGAGCCTGATTGTATGAACTCACTATATAGCTAATGGCAGAAAATCCTAACCCAAAGGTAAAGGATTTAAAAATATTTGTTATTTAACTTTTCAGCGTGAAAGACAAGCATCAGAAAAGCTGTGGAAAATAGTAATTCTAAATTTTTTAAACTGTCATGAGTAACTATAACCTCTGACATTTGTCCTGACAAGAAATCCAGCAGCCTTTATTATGTTGGAATGCCAGCTGGAAGACACAATTGTGCATCCCCAATAAAGTCCAAGGACCAGCTGAGTTAACAGCCATATAGGCAGACACTGAAATCAGTAATCAAATTTATCAAATTTTTTCTGGACTGCTGGATGGTGAGGGAAGAATAAATAAGATACCTTCTGCATCCCAGTTGACTGGTCACTGATACTCAATGTTACCTGATGTCATGTGGAGTTATCTGTACAGCAAGACCTGTAGGATAGAACAGACAATTCACAGTTCAGTTCTGTCATTCAGCTGATGGATTGATTTTTGAATGAAGACATTGAGAAAAATGGTGAGGTGTCTAGTCCCCATCCTGTCCTCTGCTGGCAACACTCTAAAGAATGACACTCATTGTTGTGTCTTGTCATTCCTCTGTATTCCTGTGTCTTGCTGGTGTTCTGGCTGGTGTTGGGTATTTGACTATATTTCTGCTTTAAGTAAAACATACAAAGAATAAATCTAGAGAAAACATGAATCCTGAAATTTTCTGCAGTGAATTGTTGCATAAAGACAACTTTAAATTTCCACGTGGTCTTTACACTGGATACAATTTGCATATAGTTCACTTAAAAATCCACTGCTGCACTGGATAGCATGTAGTATTTGGAACTAGCTGCTTTATATGCCAGGATGTCATGCTGGATATGCTAGTACCCTGGGTCTTTTTAGAAATTCATAGTGTTAAAGGTACTTTGATATACAACGTAATTTACATGGAAGATGTTCTACAGTTTGAAAATCGTGTATCAGCATACTGTTTGATATCATAGGATTATTTTCACTGGAATATGCTATAATTTTTTAGTTATTTTTAATGTTAGAATTACATACTTAAACACACTTGTGATTTCTAACAATGTTTTTATTCATCAGCAGTCTTCTGTTCCTGTCAACTGTTTTGGTTGCTGCCCATTGCTGTCCTAGTATTGATTAACAAAATGTGGCTCAGTCTCACTAATGTAACACTGGAATTGTCCTTTCCTTGTCATAATTGATAATTGCAGAGTTATGATTTTCTTGTTTACCTTTGCAACAGAAGAAACATTTGCTACAGTTAAATGATTGGCTTCTGCCTGAAAGTTTTGTTTCATCTCCATTGTAAAAATATTTTCTGCAGTTTCTCTCTCTATTAAGAGCTGATTTAATGTAGCTTTCCTAATAGGAAAAAAAAGCTCTTCAAACCTGAATTTGACCTATCAGTTAAGCAAGAGGATGCTTAAAATAGATTTATTTTCTAAAAACTAGACAATGTGGAAATTCTGCAATAATTTGATAATTTAGAAAGCACACAATAACAAAGAGCACAAGTTTCTGAAACTTGGGAGAAGTAGGAAAACGCAAATGTATACATTGTTTTTAACACCTTCCCAGACCTCTTTTTTTGCCAGCTACCATATGAATCGACTTTATCATGACTTACAAAGACCATAGTAAGAAAAGTTTGAATTACTAGTTTTTAAACATGTACTTTTGGACTGTTTAAATCCATATAATCTGTTTTAGTGATGTTACTGTTTTATCCCTATAATCTGTTTTACTGATTTAGTTCCTTGGGACTTTGTTATACAGTTACTTTTACTTTTTCTTATAATGGTATAGTAGTTTAAGCAGGTTATTTCTTCATTCACTAAGTCATTATGATAAAGATACACACGCAGAAAGGATTATTTCCTTCGTTTTGTTACAGGGATATATATCGAAGCTATTATGGTCACCTTAATTATACATTTTCAGATGTTACCTTTCAAAGTTTAATTTTGATTTCAAATTTCCAAACTTACTCCATGTTTTAGTTTTTCATTCTATTTAACTCCTAAAGTTATCCCTTAGAATATATCAGGGGCTTTACTGATGACAATCTGTCTCTGGGTCTGAGAAGGCTTCTTCAGACTACCTGGGTAGTTTAACCACAGTAGCAATGGTCTTGAGCATTCACAAGAACTGGGAAAGCTTGTGCCAGAAACTTTCAGATAACTTGCACAGCATGAAGGGTTTTGGAGTACCTTCATAGCTTACATGTCTAAATCCCACTTGGTTTGTTCTCAGGGGCACGTTTTAGACTGACACCTAAATGAAGCATCAGTAGGGCACTTGGCATCTAGGCTCATAGTGGAGATGTGGTGAGTGCAACCAGTGTAGTCTGAGAACATTTTTACTGCCTACAGTCACTTGAACAGCTTGCAAGATTGTATTGAGGAAACTTTGCCTAAATGTAAGCATCTCTTACTCTTTGAGACTCCCAAGGAAATCAGAGGTATCTGTACAAGGCTGGCAAGTGTGATGCATGGGAAGGAACTGCAAGACCACTGCACTCTCTGCAGTGACAGGTGAAGGGCAGGCAGGATATTTTTGAGCACTAGATGACTGCATGTGGATTGGCTCCATTGACATATTGACTCCATCCATTGAATATAATGGGAACTCGGGCACCAAGTTCCCACATGGAGACATATGGTATCGTGATCTCAGACTGACTCTGACATGGTATGTGCCCGAATCCTATTTGGTTATTAGGTATGACTCTTTCTCTTCAAACATGGACTGTCTTTTTTTAATTAAAATTCATTCCATGAATGAATTCTCTGTCAGCCTGATCAGGTGTCACTGGGAGATTTGCAACTGGGCCACTAAATGTGGTACAGAAGAAAGTGGAAGCAATTTGTATTAGTTTTGGGGCAGGTTCTGTTATCTTGTCTCCAATACAGACAACTTGACTATGTGCATTCCAAGATTGATTAGATTATACTGTTGGTTTTGACATGTAGAAATGAATAATATGTTGCTTGAATGCTTATTTCTTTCTCTTTCAGTTACTGTAATGGATGTATGTTAGATCCAGACTGTGGACTCTGCTATAAATTGAATAAATCAAGTGTTGTTGAGTCCTCATGCATTCCTGTTGATAAGGATTCTACAATGAAAGCAGCTTGGGGCAGGTATGTCAGTTTTCAAGATTTTCTGGTCTTGTGCTCTACTATGCTATTGAGAATGCTTTTGTTTTTACATAAAATGTTACTCTTAGGATGTTCTGAAAGAAAAATTAACTTGGCATGATCAAAAATGGGCAATTACATTCTAACAACTGTTCTAAATAAAAGCCTTGACCCTGATGTGTGCAGTGAGTTTAGTGTAGTCTGTCACTTAGAAAGTATGGCAAAAGTACACTAGCAATTAGGAAAATTACTTTTCCCTGATGTCTTCCTTTATTTGAGGCAGGATATTCCCTAGGTACACACTTAAAGCTCTCTGAATTAATTTTGTTTTCAAATGCTTTAATTAAACCACACTTTTAACATTGGCCTACTAAAGAAACCAATTTGCTCTGCTGAATAATCTAAAATGATAAAAATCTGAAAAGTTCAAATTGTCAGAATCATGGTTTGTGGCCAGATTTCTGTGTTCCTGTGCTTAAAAGCGACATCATGCTATGTGTTGCATTTGGGGTGTGAAAATGTGTGCATTCATACATAAGTCCCAATGCAACTGCAAAATACATCACACTTCTTTTCCTTAAACAGCACAAAGATTCCCTGTTAAGTCACAGCATTCCTCAAGGTTTTAAAAGTACAGGCTGTTCTTAAGAAATGGCTTTATGAGTTGGAACAACGTCCTGTAAAAGCTTTATCAATACTTTAATAATGATGAGGGCTTGGATTAGAGTTTAGAATGGTTCACTGCCACAAGGGAATTATATAATTACTGCTGATAAAATGTTTAATTACTGCTGATAAACACTCCTCACCATAATTCATCTATGCCACCCACATGCCATAAACATACTTGGAAAATAGGCAAAGATTCATGTATTTTTTTTTTTTTTTTTTTTTTTTTTTTTAAACTTTCACATGTGTTTCTCAGCAGTTAAAACCAAGTGCCTTAGTGGCATTGAGTCATATTGGACAGAGGTTGGAAGGTATGAAAATATCTACTAATTGTAGAATCATTAATTTTAAATTACTCTAAAATTGCTCTCCTTTTGATGTCAGTATTATTAGAATGTTATGCCTAGTAGTTCATTCCAGATGCAGAAAAGGATATCTTACATTTTTTGTATTCCTAATTTAAAAGCACTGTGGTCATTTTGGAGCTATTAATGTTTATTAATAAATAACTGTGAAAACTACAAAATCTCATCCCTCTTGCTTGTTCTGTGGCTATCTTCAATGATACATTATAAATATACCTTGCATATTACCTAATATTCTGATGCTCTACAGCACTTGGACTCTCACTCATATTTGTAAGGTAACAGATCTCTCTTTGTATTCCAAGTCAACATATATTTCATATATGCTATAGTTTTAAGTAACATGTCTGTAGTTAGCAAAATTGTGCTAGCATGCAGAAAGACATAAATAGAAATATAAACTTGTTATGAATAGTTGATAGATAAAATCAAACTTTATTTTTTAGGCAGTGTTTATTGTATAACATGTAGTAAATGTTAGCATCAGCAATCATTTTATAGTCCTGATTCACTCTCACATAGCACTCCTTCTTGTACAGCATACTGGAGCAAATTAGATAGAAAATAAGAAACACTTCCTTTCCGTATTGCAAAATACAGTATTTCCATATTGTACATTAATTCCATATCATAAGGACCCCATTCAAAATCTTTCAAGAAAAAACAAAAATATTTTAAATTTGTTACACTGGTAGTCACTAGAGTGAAAGTCCTGCCTTAAGAAGGAACCCAAATAAAATATCCACATTTCTTTTTCAAAAGATTGTATGTTCGTCTCCATTTCTAGTGTTTATTTCATTAATTTCTAATCTTGCCTCCACCTGGTCTGTGTAATCAGGCAGTTTTCTAAAAGCCAGTCCTTCAAGCTGTGAAATGTCAGGTGGCACCTTCTGTGCCTTCCAAGCCTTGTGGAACCAGCAAGTATTTCACCACCTCCTCACAGGTGTGTATTTCTGCATAGTGGTGCAGAGGGAATCCCCATGGATTTTGGCTTCCAAGGATTCACATTCAGGTACCCCACCCCCAGCTCTGCTGCCTCACATCCTGAGGCTGCTTCACGGCAAAATCAGTCCCACAAAGCCATAGGATTTCCCTGCCAAGCGAGAAGGTTGCTGCAGTGAAAATGGCATAGTTACATTCCCAGTTGCATCTCAGATGGTCAGTTGTTGTCTGTATCTTTCTGGCAGCATAGGGAGAACAAGCGCTTAAGACAAACTACCAGCATGGGTGAAGAAATTGTGTCTGTACTACTGATGCTTGAAATTGGAGCCCTTCATTTCACAGAGTTACTTTGTCACAAGCTAGATGTACGTTGGCAGTTATTTTAAAAATACGTGGCATTTTTATGATCAGAAACTGGTTTAATAACTTGAAAGATGATTTTGTGATCTATGGACAGCTGATAACCGTAATTATCACATGCGGCCTCTTTGTAACTCCTGTGTATTCTGATGGCTTCATGCCATCCAGTATTGGCTGAATGGGTTTTAATGGTTTAAAACATCTAGAGTTACACTGGCCTCCTATGGCCAATTTATGTTGCCATTAATTTTGCTCAGGAGAGAAGGAAGATCTGAGCAATTTATGTGGGATTTGTTGGACTTCAATTTGCCTGAGCATTAGCAAAAGCAGCAGCTCTGACTATCCTGCCTGATGCAGGAGTTTCAGAGAAACAGCTTCTGCTGTGCTTGGATTGACAGTGCTGTGCAGAGCATTTCACTGCTGCTGTGTTCATATTTTGGTTATGATTTTCCTGCTGGAAAGCTGGGACCTGCAGCCATGGAGAGGTGCCTACAGTCACATCATAAGATGTGTGTGCAGTTGTCTTAACCCCAACTGTCCTGACATTCACTCAGGGCCTTATCCCTGATATGTAACCTACCAGCAAGGTGAGAGGTGCTTAGAGGCACCAGGAAAGGCCTTGTCATATTTTTCAAAGCTCTCTGCAGCGTGCAAGCTGACATAGAAAACCCTCCTGTTTATGTCTTTATACCCTTGCACTGTTCTTCACAGTTGGTGCCAAGGTACTTTGATAACACTGACGTAACAGGGAATGTTTTGACTGTTATAAAATACTGTAATGTATTTTTATTTACAAGAAGTTTCCCCAGTGCCAGCCTAGTATACTAGACACCACCTCTATGCATATTGTTAATCCTATTTATTCAGTTACAGTATGTACTACATTGAGAAGTTCTAGGGAGGGGAGGGAAGAGAACAGAGATTTTAGACTCCTGTGGCTGCTAGCAAGGCTGTTTATGTTGCTGCGGTTGTCATAGAAACCTAGGGAGACAATTAGAGCGTCCAAATGTTTTTCAAGAAGAATATAGCATTTTGGTTCTTTTGAATATAGGGAACTCTGTGGCCAGCACTGGCCCTGGGGCAAGGAGACTGCCTAAGAATAAATCTGGCCAAGTCCAAGTCAGGCCTTGAAGCGGCATGGGTAACATGCAGTGGGTACAATTGTAAGATCATATAAGACAAACAGAGATTTATTTTTTGTTATTTAATTAGTTATATAAGCCTGACCTGGTATTGGAATAACACAGAGAGGAGCATCTTGCCCAGGGCACCAGCACACTCAGGTGCTTTGCTGCCCTTGGTACTGAACCAGCTAACAACTGCATGCAGATCTTGCCATCTCCAGTTCTGCCCAGAGACATATAAAGGAAGGTTTCAAGACAGTGAGTAAGAATATCCTTAATTTCTTCTTTTGTAATTAAAAAAGGAGGAGCTGTGTCTCTTTCTGTGTGGTCAGAGGGTTCTGTTGGGACTGTGTTCTCAAAGATTTAGGGAAGTTTTGCAATTAGCTGTAGCACGAAAGGGATTGTAGTTCTGTTCTCTTCATCAACATCGAATTATAAAATCCACGCTAAGTTGATAAAAAGCATTATCTTGCATTTACAGATGGGAATGCATTGGGAAGGTTCCAGTATGAAGCTCAGGTGGCACAATAGAGGTCACAGGCAGAGTCTGACTCTCAGCCAGGACTGAATGTGGGGGTGATTGCTTTCAGTTCTGTGCTTCAAGAGCACAAACTAAAATGTAGTTTTTCTCCACGATTGCAATTACTCCCACCGTACTCTCAGAAACCTTGAAACTTCCGTCTGTGTAATTGCAATAACCCTAAAGGCCAGCCAGGAATGCTCTGGAAGGAACTTCAAATTGCATTAATGTTCTTACAGTTGAAAGAATAACTGTGCAAGGAAAGGAGCTACTAATAGTGCCTTGACATGAGTATGTTGTCAAGACCACAGCAGGCCCACAACTGTGAGCTAAAAGGCTCTCATGAGTGACTCTGAGCAATCTCCCTCTGGAGAGAAAGATGTTGACTTTATACAGTAAACAATTATGAAGAAATAATAACATCATCTGCAGATCACAGAACAAGCCTAGAAGCCATCCTGTCCACAAAATTAGCTGGCAGGTCTCCACAGGCCCCAAAGGAGGACAACTGGGAACAGAAATCTATAAAGGGAGAGGAGCTGAGTGATTTGCTTTCTTCAGCCATTTTTATTAACTTCGTTAGAGGAACATCTCCCTGCCACGGGGGTTTAATGCTTTGTGGAGAATCCTGCTTTCATCAATATAAAGAAGCATTCCCCTCTCTGAGGGCTCAGTGCAAAGGGGAGAGCTCTGCATTTGGGAAGCTCTTCATTTTCCTCTGGCCAGTGCTCTCCTGAACTCCTTCCTTGCATGTAAAATTAACGGCATGTTTACAAATGCCTGGTAATGCTGTTTTGTGTCACTGTGTGCCTGTTACTTATATCCATCACTTTGCTGAGTTTAACTGTATCTCAGAAACCTGTTCTGGGAAAAATGAGTTTAAACTACCTGGGCACTGCGAGGAAGCAGGTCAGGCAGTCAAACCCTTGTTCCCAGCTTCAGGAGAGTTTCCACTGCAGGAATGTGCATGACGACCTTGGCATTTGAGCCTGGATGCTAACTAGATTCCAGTGGTTAAAAAAA